CTCTCTCTCTCTCTCTCTCTCTCTCTCTCTACACACACTCTCTCTCACACACACACACACACACACACACACACATCCCACCATCATCATCATCATCAAGGCACCACTTATGAACTTGGTTCTCACTGGAGCTAACAGCTGCTTTGCTCCACAAACCCTTCTCTGAGTCGCAGAAACCTTTGTTCCAAACCTTCTGTTAACCATTCCCTACCAGCCAATTTAGTTGAAGGGGGGGTGGGGGGAAGGTTACACAGAAAATCCAACATCTTTAATCCTATTCACTTTCCTGGAATATTGTTAAGCCACTACTCCAGCACTTCTCTATTCAAAAGGAGAAATAGATGACCGGTTAAAGTTTATGGTTCTGTCCTCGAACGTCTCTCCTCTCCCTGCAGCGAGCAAGCACCCTTTCCCCCCCGGTGTTAGGATATGAAATCCCCATTCCCCAGGCTCAGGAGATCGTTTTCATCAGGGATAAAGTGACTGACTTTTCCTATAACGAGACATAAGAGAGTGCCAGGACCCGACAAGCAGCAGCAAGTCACTGCCTCCAGGGGAACACGCCCACTGACAAGCAGAGCTAGGGGTACCCAGTTCCCACACTCAGCCTCCAGGCCACTTTTTCTATATATTAAAGAACCACGCGAGGAACGACCAAAAGCCACTCGAGAGCCCCTTGGCTCCCCTCTGGCTGCGCAGCACAGGCTGGTGCCCTGCATGGCCACAGTGGGTTAGTCGATGCTGATGCTCCCAGCCGCGATCGTTCCTCAGCGCCTGTCACAATGTTTGGCTCCTCTCCTCCCTCTCAGTGGTGCGGCTCCGTGTGTGTGTGGGGCGCTGCTCGCCTCACTGCTTCCCCACCGCCGGCCCAGGCTCTGTCTGCAGCACCCCAGTGTGTGCCTGTGCGCCCCGGCTCGGGGCCTCGCAAACTTTCGCCGCCTCCTGCGCCCCAGCAAACGCGACAGGCTGTCACTGACGCACATTTAATTCCTCCGTGCACACGCGGCGGGGCTGCCCCTCGCATCCTCCCCGGGGGCAGGTGCTGGACCCTGCCCGGGGGCGGGGAGTCAAACTGCCAGAACAAAGTTCCACGGGGCTGCCGGCTGTTTTCCGTCGCCCCATTGCACCCCATGCCCTAGGCACTCCCGTGCCGCCCCCCTTCCCAGGCGCGCTCCCCTCTGCACCCCTGTGCCCTCCTGCCCCGCTCCCCAGCGCAGCAGCAGGGAGCTCGCAGCCCCGGCCCTTACCTTGCTTGACACACTTGAGCCGGATGGGGTCCTTGCAGTGCTTGATCACGGCCAGCACATCCCTGATGGTGAGCCCGGCCACGGGGGTCTCGTTCACCTCCAGCAGCAGCTCCTCCGGCACCAACTTGCTGCCGCTCTCATAGGCCACCTTGCCGGGCTTCACCTCCCCCAGGTACGGGAACTGCCCGTTCTCGGCGCCCCCTTTCAGCTCAAAGCCCAGCTGCCCCTCCTGGTTCCTGCCTAGGACAATCTCGTGGACCCTGCTCGTCCAGTGGCTTTTCTTCTTCAAGCCCTTGGACATTGCAGTGGGGATGGGCTGGCGGAGTCTCCCTGGCGTGCTGGGTGCTGGTCTTGAGCCTGGCTCCTTTTTGGGGCGGGGGCTGGTGGGTCAGGGGGGCTGGGTCCGGGGCTGCTGCGGCTCCCGGCCGGCTGATTGGCACCGCAGGAGCCGTGGCCGCCGGGTGGCGAGGAGGATGGAGAAGTGGGGAGTGGGGGTGACTCTGCCCCTGACTGTCAGTCTGTCTGTCTGGGTGTTTTTAGCTGATATCCATGGCAGCTGCGGCAGCCGGGACCCTGTGAGTGAGTGTGTGTGTGTGTGTGTGCACTAGTTGTACAGTAACTGGCGGCGGGGAAGGAGGGAGGGGTGTGGGGAGGAGGCAGGGAGGGATGGAGACGGCCCGGGGAGCAGGAGGAGGGGCAGGGCTGTGTGTGCTGGAGGAGGGAGGGGGGTGGCTGATCACGCTCGCCTCCAGCCTGACCCGGTAGTGAAGACCCAGAGAGAGGCTGGCTGGCACGGCAGGGAGAAGGCGGAGAGCAGTGGGCTGGGTGGGGAGGAAAGGGAGGCCCAGGGAGCTGCAGCCTCCCCACCCGGCCTAGGGATGGGGAAGGGGCAGCAACCCCTGGAGCAGGCGGCCGGGGGAGCCAGCGGGTGACAGCGGGGCCCCTCCCCTTCGCAGCCCGGCAGGGATGGATCGGCGCTGGGATCCTATCGCTGCCGTCCCGACCCCGGCCAGTTCCCTTACCAGGCCTGCCCTGTCTGCGGCCCGGCTGCCCAGTGCAGCGCCTACCGGACCACTTCCTCTGGCCTCGACCCACCGCCCGGCCGCAGCCCTGTCCTCACAGGGGCTGACCACTGGGTGCTGCAGCGCAGTCCCCTAATCCCAGCTCCTGCACCCCAGTGCCCACATTCTCCCCCCCCCTCCGCTCCCTGGCTGACCCCAATTTCACTCCCGTCCTCGCTGCGGGGGGTGGCACATCACAAAACTAAGCCACCGCAGCCTCGGATCTGCCTAACGCCTCCAGCCCCTCCTGCTTCCTCTGACCACCACTCACTGCCCCTTGTTTGCCAGGTTACATTGTAGGCTCCCCAGGGCAGGGAGTGTGGCTTCTGTGCAGCCTGTACTGCCAAGCACCCGGCCCCTGGGTGGGCCTGTGGTAAAAACAACAATAATAGTGAGTAGAGTGGGAAGGCAGAAGTGGAGAAATCCTCTCATGCATCCTGCTTTTACCCATGCTTCCTGCTTGTCCTCCTGGTCCAGTCACCCATTGATTCATCTCATCTCCAGCAGTTAAAGCAGAGCATGGGAATGAGGTGGTGGGGCTGGGAAGGCTGATCCAGGGGTTAGGATGGTAGTATTTGATTTTGGAGACCTGGGTTCAACTCCCTGCTCTGCCACACGATCCTGTGTGAGGGGGCAAGTCACTTAGGTCCAGATCCTCAAAGTTATTTAGGTGCCTAAATCAGTGGGAGTTAGGCACCTAAATACCTCTGAGTAGTTAACGCATAGTTAACCATCTGTAAGCAGGATAACAGCACTTCCCTACTTAGTTTGAGTCTGAGCATATTAAAGATTGTGAGGTGCTTAGGTACTATGTTATTGAAGGGGCATATAAATCCATCTAAAATAGTGAATTGGATGCTTTGCAGGATCAGTGGATGGATTTGGAAGATCTAGTTATGAAATCAGACATTCTTGGTTTGAGCAGGCTTCAAATGGTGGCAAGAAAAACTTGACAATTATGAATTTTGAGGCCCTCTTAATATGTTCAACCACAAATACTGTGTATGTACACAGACAGAACCGTGTGGCTCCAGATTTAGTGGCTCCCAAACTTCCAGTTTATCGGGTAGTATTGCCCCAGAACAAGTTTTCTAAGGTTGGTTACCAGGACCACAGGAGAAAAGGAGGTCCTCCCCCACCATCAAAGTTCAGGTGGACCATACCCGTTGTAGAGAGTCTAGGGGTGGACTGCAAGTTTGAGAAGAGTAGGGAACAACAATAGGGTAGGTGAGTGAACAGTTGGTGGACCCAGAAAGGTAGAGAGCAGAAAAGGGACCCTGCCCTCACTGATACCTACTTGCCCTCAACAATCAAGCTCCTTGCCACCAACTCTCTGGATTATCCAGGATGCCCACTGCTCCCTGATTCCAAGCGCCTCAGCTGTTCAACACCATGTTCCCCTTGCGTCACACCCAATTTAATATTTGCTGCTCTAATGCCCTCTGCTCCATACTGCCCCCACACTCAGATGCACCCAACGTAGAATTTCCTAGCATGAAAATGAAGGGATGGCATCCATCCCTGGGTTTTATAGACAAATGTAGAAAAGTCTCACTTCCTAAAGAGATGGATTTCCCTCCTAGGGGAAGACTGGCCAAACAGGGACAGGGAAAACCTCCCTACTTTGGCTGGAATGTTGGTGGACCTAGCCCATCAAAGGCAAGGTGAATGGAGATCTCCTCCCACCTCCTCTGCACGAGTGTGCTATGTGATGTGCAGAATGGAGGAGTGCTGAATATATGAATGCTGGAACATGCAAATTGGATGCAGAATGAATGAAGGGTGGGATGTAGGGTGTGTGGAAGAGATGCGTGTAGTTTAGAACTTGTAAAATGTTTTTGAAATTTGAATGAAAAATGGCATTTGTCAATGAAATTTTTCACAAACATTTCTTGTTTTTGACCATTTCTATAGCACATAAGAGCAAGTGAAATGGGTGCCCGTGGAAGGGAAGGATGGTTCGATAAGCAAAGGACAAAGACCCTGATCCTGCAAACTGTTTCATATGGACTTCAGTGGGATTCTATGTGGGTGCAGGAATCCGCTCACTTGGGGCAGCCTGCAGGATTGGGGCCAAAGGAAAAGGAAAGAGATAAAAAAGAAGCATAGAAAAATGAAAATAAAACCCTAAAATGGCAGAGAAGAGCAGATAATGAGATGGGACTTGGAGCATGCCTGATTAAAAGAACAGTAGTAGCTGTGGGATTGCCACAAATAGGGCAGAAAACAGATTTAAAACTTTTATTAAAGCTAATGTTAAAAAATTATATAATACACAGGTTAAGAAAAGAGTGTTTGTACATCTGGGTTACTACAGCAATGGCCTGTATTTCCACAGACTTCAGTGGGAACCGCAGGTGCTCATATCCTGTGAAATCAGGCCATAAATGAGCTGGCACTAGGTGAAGGCAGTAAAAGGGACTCAGGGTGAATAGCTTTTTTCCCCTGCCCCACCAATGTATTGTTTTGCTTTCTAGTTGTGAAAAAAGGGAAAGGAGGTAGATAGCTGAGAATAGGGAGTAAGAGGCATGCCATCCTTTTGGCCAACCTTGAGCTTCCAAGATCCTTCTACACATACCTTTGCTGACGCCTCAGCCCTATTAAAAGTGTCCTAATTTTTTAAATAAGAAAATGCGGTCACCCTGTTAATATGGGAATGATAGTCTTGAGCTTCTGATAATAAAGATTCAATTTATAAATAACTTAATATTCACAAGAACACACACACAGCTCTGGCAACTGTCAGGCTCTGGCTCTGGCTCCGGTTTACTCTAAGTGTCCCTGGACTAATAGTCTGTATCTGTTATTAACTTTACAAAATACTTGTAGGAGGTGGGGAAGGGACTCCATTATATTTCCCCATCAATAGGGCCCAAGATTAATTTAGCCCTATTCATCAGGATTATTTAAGGTTTCCAGAATTAGTTAATATCAGGCGGACATTAACTGTAGGAAACTATCGTGCTAAATATCCCATCTGGTAAAAGAGTCTGTAGGTTCCATTTTAAAACATATTGCTAGCAATATGAATCTGTATGGGATAGTAATTTGTAACAGGTACTATGCTTTAGATTTGTATTCCTTTGATTTATACTGCTAGATGTACAGTTGTAAAACAGGTAGGGCTTGTCTGGAACTGGTACCCCAGAATGGGTTGGGGTGGGTTGGAGTGTAGGGTAATTGTATTAACTTCACCCTTGTAAGTGCCCAGCAGTGTCCTTTGGTCCACATGCAGAGAGCTCTTTCCACAGGTGGATCCTGCTTTCCAGCAGTGAAGTGTGTGTGTAGGGAGGATATAATGATGTGCATGAGGGAAAGAAATGAACAGTGTGTAGGTTCGGTTCGGGGACGAGTGGATGGTGCCAAGTGGGGTGCATATTGTCCCCCTGCTAGACCTATAAAGATAAGAATGGAAGCCAAATAAAGCCTGGGGATGTATTATCTTTCCACAGTACTCACTGGCAGTTCCAGGAGCAGTTGCAGGCTGGGTAGCACAGCTTCAATGGAGTTACAGCATCAGGGAGCAGAGAAGCAAGGATCAATTCCGTAGTACAGTTATTGTAGAGATATGAGACCTCTGTGCAGGTGGCTTGATCTCCCCCGGGACCCAGGCTTGTGGCCTTTTCTGCTAGGGGGAAATCTGTGGTCTCTGACAGAGCTCTTTGAAAGGTCTCAACCAGGGTAAACTCACAGACACCTCCTTACCATTAGGCCAAACATGGAAGGGGGGTGATCAATTCCTGCAGCACTAACACAAGTCTGTTTTTTACACTGGGGTTTCTGTGCAAGTACAAGTAACAACAATACAGAACAAACCACATTCACCAAACAAGACACAATTGCAATTTATCATTACTTAGAGTCTAACCTTATAACCACAAAAGTGTAATTTTACTCTTGGGAGTAAAGTTACGCACATAAGTATATGCACTTTTATTAAATAAAAGTGAACTTAACTATGTGGGCTTGCAGCTGGACAGTTACCTCCCTGCCCCATCCCATCAAGAATTCAATAGAAGGTAACCAAATTTCAAACTACTTTTCCAAATTTTGAGTCTTCTGAAAGATGATTTTTCCCCCATCACAGGTATATCCCAAATGTTGACATATTATTAGACTTCTGGATTTTTATTCTTATTGCCAGAATTTTCTTCTCTCTATAGAAAGTGATGTAGCTCTCTGACAAAGGAAGGAACTCTAGATCAGCTCTTACACGTTAAATTTCCTTTTTATTGTGAAGGAAGAGTTGTGATGAAGGCACTGGACATGGTCTAAGCAGATCAGGGTTCGGTTCCCTGTTCTGCCACCGACTTCCTATGCAATTGTTGACAAAATGACTTAACTTCTCTGTTTCCCAATTTTCCATCTCTAAAATGGGGATAATAACACTTCCTTTATCCAAGGAAACAACGCTCCAAGGCAGCACCTGACAATATGGGCCCTCTAGACAACACATTAATAATAATAAAATCCTTCCCCATCATTTTCTGGCTTCAAATTCTGAGAATCTCTGCTACAGAAGGGCTAAAACAATTTATCCAAAATCCTTTTTCTCCTAATCCCATTCATTGTGGAGATTCTGAAAGGATGG